ATAATTGGGAAACAAAGGCAAACAAACAAACAAACAAACAATAAAACAAAAAAAAAACACCTGCTAAATTTTTTTGCTTATGGGCACAAGCTATATTTTTCTCAAGGAAGGCAAGACAAGGTCTTTCCTGCGAGACTAGCCAAACCAATTATTTGACTGCTAGAAACAAAAGAAAGAAAGAAATGAAAAAAATCCTTATTTTGGATCTGAGTTGGCTTTGCAACTCAGATGAGCAATTGAAACTTGCTTAAGATCTTACTCAGATGAGCCATTTTAGTCAATTCAACATCCACTATATGGAACCTTGAACTGATGTTAAATTTAGGCATTCAGTCTGCTAAGGGGATAAAATCCCCAAGGACAACAGCTCCCAGAAACCTAGGAGTAGATCAGGCAATGCTCGAACCAGACTAGTTTTGCTTCATGAAGACTAAGTAAGGTTAGACCCTCTGAAGAGGGAAAATCGCCCCCACCAAGGGAAGGTCCTGTACCCACAACTGCCATCTCCCTCCCTCAATCATTAGTTCAAAAGTCCTCTCATGGAACTGGAGAGATAGCACAGTGGGTAGGGCGGTTGCCTTGCACACGGCTGACCCGGGTTTGATTTCCTGCATCCCATATGGTCCCCTGAGCACCGCCAGGTTTAACTCCTGAGTGCGGAGCCAGGAGTAACCCCTGTGTATCGCCAGGTGTGACCCAAAAAGAAAAAAAAAGTCGTCTCATGATGGATCTGTCACGTGTGGATCACTATCTGGGACAGAAAGCTAAAATGGCGGGGCGTTTTCTCCCGGACAGTTTTTCCGAGCTGGTAAATGACACGGTCGCACACTCCAGACCATCTGTATGGGAATGGAGGCAGGAAGGAGCGCTGGTGGTGCAAGGAGGAGGCTGTGCTGACGTCAGCCGGGAGCAGTCCGGGAAGGACTCCCAGAAGAGATGGTACCAGATCTAAGATTGGATGGATAACTGGGCCTTTGTCGGAGAGATAAGAGCAACCCCGGGGGAGGGGGCCTTGGGACAGAAATCAGGCTGCAATGCCTTGAAGGGCAAAGGGGTTTTGGGAGCCAAGAAAAGGCCTGGAACAAAGCTAACACTATTTTTACAAGCTAGAAAAATAGCAGCAGCAGCAGCCGCAGCAGCAGCAGGGGCCCTGGCCAGAACCACCCCCACAAAGAGCAAACAAAGCTACTCCTATCTCCTGGCTGTCTGCTGGAGAACTCACTAACCAGCACCTTCAGAACAAACTGTTCTTTTTATCTTGGATGATTTGATTCCCGCAAGGTTCTTCCTCCTCTTTTTCCAGAAGTGGAAAAAAAAAAAAAAGGCCCAAGTCAGTTTTACTTGCTTCTTTGATCTCTAGCCTGCTGTCCCAGGCTTCCCTGGAGGATGAGGATTGTGTGTGTATGTGTGTGTGTGTGTGGGGGGGGGGGGGGAGGAGGGGGAGGGTGTTGATACTAAGCTGGTCAGAATGCGGGGAGGGAGGTCTTAGATAAACAGTGCCAGGTGAGTCCTAGGAGAGGCTGGAACTGTCAGACAAGGCCTGGATGGCCTCCGATTCAGATCTATGTCGAAGCTGGCACAGACCTTCTTGGCCTCCTGCACAGAGATCAGGACATGGCTCAACTTCTGCGGAACCTGAAAGCGGCCGATGGCTCATTCTGTTACAGGGCAGCCGGAAAAGGGACACTGGGGTAAGCGCAGGGAACGAAAAAGAAGTACAGAAGCCTAAAGTTCCTCACCACACAGCAACTCCAAGGGAAGCAAGTGACCATGGAACAGATTGTCCTGGAGAAATAACAGAGAATGTTCCTCCTCAGAGATGGCACAGCAAGAAGACCAAAGAGAGAGAATGAGCTTAGAATGAGCCACTTGGCAGGTGCTTGGGAGGTCAAGGATTCACCTCACTGGGTTCACCTTGACATCTGTGGAAGCTGCTGTCCTGTTTGCATAAAAAATGGTGCGAAGGACAACACTGGGGCCCAGGTACATAGGAAGGAAACTAGGAATCTAAACCCACATCTTCAGAGTCTGAGTCTGAAGGCTTATTCTCACACCGTACAATGCCTCAGGCCATGACTTAGAAAGCACTAGTGCAACACACCCAGGGAGAATCAGCATCTCTGGTCCCGCTTCCGTGGTCTCGGGGGTGCTCTGTGCACCTCTGCGAATCCCCCGTGGAGAAACCACTACTCTCAGGCTTGCAAGCACTCTGCGCAAATCTTTAGGACCTATGGGCTGGGAGGCATGGAGGAGTTTTTATTTTTTCAAATTTTTAATTTTTTTTCTTTTTGGGTCACACTCAGTGGTGCACAGGGGTTACTCCTGGCTCTGCACTCAGGAATTATCCCTGGCAGTACTCAGGGAGCCATATGGGATGCTGGAAATCAAACTTGGGTTGGCCGAATACAAGGCAAAGGTCCTACCCACTGTGCTATTGCTCCAGCCCAGGAGGAGGTTTTTAAAACTTGAGTTAAAAACCAAAATGTCCAGGATACGAGACATTTGCACCCATATCTCCTCTCTTTTCTGGACTTGCCAGTCTCTCTCTTCTTTGGCCGTAGTAAGGGAGAAGAGGAGGGACAGTAAGGTATATGGAGGTATAAGAAGGAATAAACTGGGTAAGATTGGTGCAATGAGCTTTGCTGTATCCCAGCAAAGCATCCCTTCCCTGAACCTTCTGGTCACTACTGACTAGAAACACAGGTTCCACTAAGAATTCCAGGTGCCAGGTGAGAGGGTGAAATGGCACCAACTTACAGTTATAAAATAAACAAGTCACAGGAATGTGACACACGACATGTCAGTGGCTAGAGTTCATGGGATGCTACAAGCCAAAGAACCCAAGGTCCCACTCAAATTCTATCTCCCCACTGGGGGAAAAAATATTTACTTTTGGAAAAATATGAGGACCTCTCATTAGCTTAAAAGCATTTGTATTTTAAAGGGAACAGAAGGTCTCAGCCAAGGCTGCCCAAAGTAGAATTTCTGCCACACGATCATTTCTAAGTGAGGGAAAGAGGACCATTGTGCAGCCTGGCTGCCAAGCAGTACACACAGCCCTCTGCTCATCACAAGGACCAGGTGCTCTGAAGAATGTCACTTCCTCTACTGTAATCCCTTGTTCAGGGCACAACGTGTGCTTGGGTTCATCCCTCAGAGAGGTCTGGGGAGTGGGCAAGGAGACCAGAATGCCTCAGGATCCCCAGGGGACAGCCCTCTGATTATCCACATGTGGCAATCCCTGCCTTTACCCCGGACATAATTCATGAAACCTGACAGCAAAGATTCATGTCCCAGCCAGGAAGCTGCATGGCCCAATAGCCAGGGGATGGGACCGCTCCAGGTCTAGCTCCGGCACATGCTCTTCCTATGCTTATTCTTGAATCCAGAATCCTGGCACTGCCATCTAAAGCACACGTGGCCCACACCTGCCTGGCATAAGGGATCTAACGTTCAGCCAGACCCCACGGATAATGGGTCAATTGCTAGTCTCGGGTACCGTGTGAGATCCTAGACACATAAAGATGAATAAGAGTCCTGGGCAGGGATGGAGGAGAGCCAGGGTGCTCTGCGAGGCCACAGCCTAGGTAGAAGAATTCGATAGTGCCTAAGGGAGCACTGACCTTCACTCTACAGGTTTCTGACATTTCACCATGTTCTCGCCTTACAGCAACTTTCTTCACTTAATCAATTTATCAATCTTCTATGCGAACCAGACATAGGGCTCAGCACAGGGGATGCCACATGAGCAAGAGGGAGATCCCCACACAATTTGAGGAGCTAGTGGAGAACAGTATAGTTGTCAAACTAAGCTAGCATGCCGGGAACTACAGCACAACGCAGTCACTTCTTCAATGGGAGCTGGTAAAAATTCCAATCAGTACAATGTAGAGAGTCTCTTAATAAATATGAATCTTTGATGAAAAGCTCCAAAGAGGGGGAAACACCATATGATAAAGGGGTCCTTGGGTTAAAATTAGCCAACTGCGGGAGCTGAAGACCAATTACCCTGGACAGTGAAATGTGTGTGAGAATGCAGGTGAGAAAAGAACACAAACATAGAAAAGGACAAAGTTTCAGGAATAAAATTCAGTATCAAAGAACAATCTGGAAGGTGTCTCACCTGTTGCAATATAAAGTATGAACAAGAGAAGTGTTTTGGACTCGGATCAAGAGGAAGAATCTCATTTTTCTCCTACCTCTACACATACATGCACAAGCACAAAAAACTGACATTACACCCCAAAAATTAGTGTTTACCCTTACCAGATAACATGCACCCTGGGATTTTCTATTCCGATGGACTCTACTTTAAAAATTCAATGGCCATGGCCTACTGAATAGATCCAGTGAAGCAGGAACTAGAATTTTTGTAAGCACTGTAGAAAGAAAGGTTAAAGCAGAGGAGGGAGATATTGAAATGAAGGAAAGAAAGAACCCCTGCACTTTACTGAATTTCTGTCTCATTACATGTTTGTCCATTAGAAATTGGGATCTGGGTTTGATTTTGTTTTAAATTCACTGTCCTCTAATACCAGATCTCAAGAATGCAATGAGTCCTTGATAAGTGCAGAAATTAATGCTTGAATGTCAAGCTTGTGAGTGTTTAGGGCGATGAAATCGAGATCAAACTCAAGTTATCAGCTATAGGTTCAAATCAAACAGAAAGAAAACCAATTCCATAGAAGGATTTTGGAGTCCCCTTAGAAATAAAGAGTGCAGGTAAGGATCCTATTATCACCCAGGCTGGCAGGAAGTTTATATGTGTTTTCTGAATGTTTGGTAAACAAAGAATTAACCAGTTATTCAGATCATTTTCCCCCTAATGTGGAAAATTAATAACACCATAATTAAGTTTTATAATTAAGGAAATGTTCTACAATTATATCCTGAATCACCAGCCCTGGAGCTTTGCTTTTACAACCAGAGAAGCGGTATCTTGGGTGCTGGGGAACCTTCCCCTGGAGCTCCATGCTGGTGCTGGGTGCGGAGAAGGTTACCTAGTCCTCCTGCGTGCGCGTCTATCAGGGAGGTTGCCACGGCAAGGCCAGCAGGAAGGCCAAGGTCTCTTGCAGCTTCTGCTGTGAGCCCATTTCCAAGAGAAGTTCCTGGAGTCAGCACTTGGTTTCCTGGGTAGACAGGAGGAAAACAAACAGCTGTCAATTTGAAAAACACAAAAGCAAACACGGTGTTTTCTTAAGAAAACCTCTCTGCTCCCCAGCTTGCTTCTGCCCTTTCTCAATGTCACAAAGACAGAACCCATGTGGCCACAGAGCATCCCCTGTGCTCATCTGGAGACTCAGGTGCAATGTCCTCAGTGTGTGGGTCCTGCTCTGGGGTGCTAAACTAAGCCAGGAGCTCTAAGGCAGCTTTCAGACTGCAGAAAGATTCCATTCATGGGCAATTCCAAAAGATGTAAACACAGAGGCTACAGGAGGACTGTAAAAACGGTCTAACTGTTTCTAACCCAGCAGTGCTGTCCACATGCACACACGCAAGTGTGCACGCACACACACACACACACACACACACACACACCCCTACCTACATGAACATATTCCAAAGGAAGGTGAGAGAAAAAAAATTGTTTGTTCAGTTGCTTTCCACCCAATGACATGGGAGGAAAAGATTACGTTCCAATCGAGAATTTCTTAAACGTTTCTCTGTTAGAAATAAAGAGTTCACTCGAAGCCTTGTAAACTTCCCAAGGCTGCTCCTTGCATAACCACCAAGCACAAGCTGAACGGTGTTCTTTCAAGTTGCACAATGCGGCGACCCTGGTATTTAAAGTGACCTTGAATTCCTGCAGTCAGTCAGGCCTTCAGTTAAGAATTTATCGATCCCCATGCTTTGCGTGGGTGTCTGGCTCCTGTCAAAGGCAGTCCTGGCCTCCAACCCAGTGAGTGAGATGAGATCAGGACACAGAGAGAAGCACAGAAGTGAAAATGGAGTGAAGGGATCCATCTGCTCACAGGTGCTTAGGACTCAAGGGCTGAGTCCTCCTTCTTTGCCTATGGGCCTGCCATGGCATTGACAGTGTTTCTATATGGCAAGAAGAGGGGCAAGGGGCCCAGCTGTACACTTGGATCCTGTGGAGCTATAAGGTCCTTAAATTTGGCCCATGGGCTCAGCGATTTGCGCTGAGCTAAGGTACTTGTCACTTGTTAACTGTCCCATGGGGGTTTGCAAATCTATGAAGGTAGAGTGGAGGATGGCGGTTAAGAAAGGCAAGGGTCTGCTAGAGTGATAGTGTAGTGTCCAAGGAGCTTGCCTTGCATATAGTCAACCCTGGTTTGATTCTGACACTGCATATGGTCCCAAGCCCTGGCAGGAGTAATCCCTGAGGGCAGAGCTAGGAGTAAACCTTAAGCCCAGCTAGGTATGGCCCAACCCCGACCTCCATCCCAAACAGGAAGGCAGGGTTGAATGTTTCAAGCAGTGGTCTCGAAAACCTTAATTACTTTCAGTTTCAACTTAAAAGTTGATATCTAGGGGACATGGCAATAATTCCACAGTCTTGAGAGCATGCTCTGATGTGTAAGGTAGGGGCTCAATCCCTGATACCACTGGGTCCCCTGAGCACTTCAGAGAGCAACCCCTGAGCACTGAGAGTTTTAGCTCAAAATTAAAACAAACAAACAAAAAACTGATCTCGAATTTGTTACCAAAAAACTGAAGTATGCTTGGAACAACTTGGGTGCACAAATAAATTATATTCAATGTTAGTTTAAGAAATCTGTTCCTATACTAACAACAAAAATTTAGTCTCTGAGTTGAGATTACTCAGTTAAAAATACACAGAAAATGCCAAGATTTTAAGAGAAAAATAAACTTAAACCATCTAAAATTTTTTTACATCAATTACACATTGAAACAATATACTTACCAAGATGCAAAAAAAAAACTAATAAAATTCATTTCGCAAATTAAAAAAATAATATGGCTACTGAAAATTTCTCAGCAGAGTCTGGCAAGCTACCTGTGGCATATTCAATATGCCAAAAACAGTAACAATAATGGGCCTCATTTCCCTGACACTGAAAGAGCTTCCAATACAGCAGCGTTGGGAAAGATGAGTAAGAAGAGTTTGCTAAAATCTCAGGGCTAGGCCGAAAGGAGAGGTTACTGGTGCATGCTGGAGTAAATCTATGAACAATGAGATGACAGTGATACAGTGATACTGAAAATTTTTATTTATGTATGTGACGAAAAGGCTTCTGTTGAATACACTGCCTTTTGGGTAAGGCTAAGACACTGCTGTGAGCCAGGAGAGATCCCTGAGTGTAGAGCCAGGCGTAAGCCTTGAACACTGCCATATGTGTCCAGCCCCCCTTCCGCTTCCCCAAATGACAGTGCAGGGAGGGGCAGCAGAAAGTTATCCAAAGATAAGATATCCAAACCTCTGTCTACTTCACCACCCAGACCAGCAGAAACCTAAAGGAGGACAGAGGCCTTAGCTGTGGGCAGGCTGGCTCTGACAGCCTCTAAATTATGTCACCTTGTGATACGTAGCATGGAACAGCAATCCTGCTCAGCCGAGCTCAGAACTTGCACTTTTCCTCACTGTTTCCTCCCTCTGTGACCACAAAAACCCTATGGAAGGGTTGTGCCCTTTCTTTCCCTATTGACGGGGGGATGAGAGCAGTTAGGTTGATGGGGAAATCCATTTTTCCTAGTCACAATGACACATGCTCCACTCTTAACACCAAAGCCTGGGCTCTGGATTTATCATCAGGCATTTAGATGATGCTACTTTTTTGTTTTCTTTAGGGAGGTATGTTTTATTCATGCTCAGAGATCGCTTCTGGTACAGTGAAGGGATTATATCAGGTGCTGAGAATGAAACCTGGGTCAGCCGAGTGCAAGTGAAATGCCTACCTGCTGTACTATTGATCCAGCTTTATAATGCTATTTAAAAAAAAAAACAAAAAAACAAAAAAACTCAAATGGTGGGATTAAAAGAAAAAATTTTACATGCACATACCCAAACTATACAAGTTTGAAACATAGCACCATTTGAACATCAAACTCATTAACATGAGATTTTCTTTAAAAGGCTCATTTGACCCGCTTGAGATGGGAGACACGTGCTGAAAGAAGACTATAGACCGAACATGACGGGGACTTAATACCTGCATTGCAGAACACAACACCCTAAAGGAGAGAGTAAAAGGGAATGTGCCTGCTACGGAGGTGGGGGGTGGGGAGCATGGGGTGGTGGGTGGGATACTGGGAACACTGGTGGTGGATGGATGGGTACTTGATCAGGGTATAACTGAAATGTAAGCATGAAAGTTTGCAAGTCTGTAACTGTGATTCATCAAATCACAAATCTCATGGTGATTCATTAAAAAATAAATAAATAAATAAATAAATAAAGTGCTCATCTTCACAGGAATGTGGAAACGGGGCAGTCAGTTACACCCCCATTTCTGCTGATAGCAAGGGTGTGGCTTTTCAGTCAAAACAGCTTGGGGACCTAAGAGGCATTAGGAGACTGAGCTAACTCCTCCCGGGCTCCTGCCTAGTAAGAGCAGAGAGAGCCAGAACACGGGGCAGCTGAGTTCACTCCAGGGAATGCTGGAAGACCACACAACGATCTCTTAATTCAGGTGGCAACAGGAGCGAGCTCTAAGAAACAAAGGCTGAGAATACGGGAATATAAATGGGATGGGGCCCGTGCAGGGGGGCAGGGATTGAGCACACACAGGCAAATCAGGGCTTTGGACTTAACTATAAAGCCCACTGCTGTCAGCTCTGGATGGGCAGGAAGCCCAGGGTGAAGTGGATGGGCCTGTGCTCCCTTAAAGATGGGAACCAGAGTAGTTGGGGACAGTAGGGCTTAGGGAGAGCAGGTGGGAAAGTCACCTCACTAATTCAAGAGCAGAGATGAGGACGGGGACTATCCTGGCCTCGCAGTGCAGTGCTCTGGGCATGAGCTGAACTGCAGACATACAAGCTGTGATAAAGTCGGACATGGAGGGCATCCTATGGGTGCCTGGAGGTCGGGAGCATGGGATTATATGGAGATATTGTCACCTGGGTTCCCAGATGTTCTGCTCATTGAGGGGAGTCCCCTGAACAAGCAGCCACCAGCTGCCACCTCCTTCAGGCCACCATGCCCTGGGCAGCTGTATCCTGTGACCCTGTGTCATAGGAACCAAGTCCTCAATCGTCCCAGAGCACTGCTGGGGGACCAAGGCAAGGGGCTGTATTATCTTCCAGCCTCACTCTCTTACCATTGCTCTCACAGATGGCAGCCGTTAAAAAATATCCTCTACCCCCAAAGCTGTCACAACATCTGCTCCCATAGAACCTAATGGTGTGCAGTGAGCCAGGCCTCCCCAGCCCGATGGTTTCGGAATGAAAATAAATATGCACCCAGATTAACCTCCTTTCTTTGTAGTCCAACCAGAGCCTCCAGGAACTGAGTGTCTGAGTGTCTGGGCTCCCTGCGGGAACAAGTATTGTGGTGCTAGACAGCTAAAGGAAATAGCGTGGCATAAAAGAAGAAAACAAAAGGTGGGGATCTCTGACCACCCCTTTTCTGGACCCCCCCCCCCCCATGCCATGTAATCACACTTTGAGTTTATCAGCCAGACCCATACCCAGGGTTACAGTGGGCACTGAGAGGGAGGCAAGCTCCTATGCATTGTGACAACTTTTTCTGAAATACCCATCCTTTGGCTATTATTTGAACAGAAACTCAAATTAATCCTAGCATTAGATTTTCCCAGTGGGCTTCAAAGCTCTGTAGTCCTCATATTTATGTTTTTTTCCCCCCGTCTTTGTTCTGCTATTCTCTTGCACACGTGAACAACTATTAAACAACAGGGAAATAAAGAGAGATTCTTCCCACCCCCAAGAATTCTGCCTGCTTGGAGCCAAAAGCAAATGAATGAAAGAGAGAGAGGGAGAGTCCTCTCACCTCCAAGCCCACACAATGACCTGGGACAAGTGCGGCTGTCACTGCCAAGAACCCAGTCCCGCACAAGTAATGCACATGTGGAGCCCTTGGAGCACTGCAGAGGGATGATCAGGTTGGCTCAGGGAGCCAAGAATCAGGAAGGTGACAGTGGAACCTGATCTGCAAGGATGGGAGTGGGAGGGGGGGCTGCAAGACTTTGTC